ACACAGAAGTCAAGACCTTTAAGAATGGTTGGTGCTGCACAGAACCTATGAATACAAGTACCACATTTTCAAACAAAATAAAAGGAGATGTTTAGGAGACAATTCAAACTTAATTGGTTCAAATGCAAATTTGAATTTTGGTAGACCTAATTGTCAAAACGGTACAGATTGGTATTTGCTGAGACATATTTTTGGGGCACACCACCAAAAAACACTCCCCCCCCCAAACAAACAAACAAACAAACAAGCAAACAAATCCAAAACAGGTGCTAAATAATGGAAAACCCTCGAGTTTGAGTTTAACTTTTATTGTTTTTCTTAAAAATGTGAAATTTTGCATGAAAAAAATATCCACAGTTTTCACTTAAGGTACACTTTTGAATTAAACAAAATATAGTAATTTTCTCTCCAACGGAAGTATAATTTTAGTAAACACCCAAATCAGATCTAACTCTAAACATGCTTCATTTGACAAAAAGGAAAAAAAGCTTTAGTTTTAATGTTTCGAGTAGTTTCTGAAGAGACTGTAAAAATATCTTAAGCAGCATGATCATTATCAGAAGGGTTTCAAATACAAAAACACTCTTTCCACCAGCAGTTCATTGTAATTAAAACCTAAAAACAAAACAAAAAATTCCAGAAAACAAAAACTAAGTTTGATCATTTGGTTCCTAAATGTGAAAGTTTGTATTTTAAAACTACACAACGTCAAGTTGCATGGCTGTTTGTCAGACAGAACTGAACAAAAGGTATTTGCTTGTTGCCATCTGTTTTTCCCACCCAACATCAGTCCTGTGTAGGGGTGTAATGGGCTTGTCACCACTCACAATGGTGAGGCAATACCTGTAGTGTTGTTGCAAAATGGTGTGCCATTTTACAGCCATGCATTGATAACAACATGAACAAAATTATTAATGATAAAACAGACAAAGAGACTGGACAAAAAAGTATGAACATGAAACAGAAAACTGCACACCTCTTTTTTCCTACCAGCTGTTATTATGTCTGATGTTACAACAGTATCTGTTGGTTCTGTCGGACAACTAAGGAGCCACTTCAGATTTCCATTACTGAGACACTTTAGATACAATAACATGATGTGAACATTAACTTATATCGAAGGACTGATCTATAAATATGCAGTAGATGGTCTAAAGTTTATTTTTCAAATATTATTTTTATTTAAATAAAATAAAATGCATACTATCATTCATGTTGTGGTTTTTATGTTGTTTGGGGATTTAAGTCTTCCTATGTGACAAATATACACATCAAATATTTTGCTTCCATATCACAGCTGTGGGTTCATGGGGGTGACTGGGTGACACACCACCACATGGGAAATAAGTTTTTTTTCTGCTTTGGTTTAAAGCTGTGAGCTGTCAGGGAAGTTAATGCCGTTAGCTACAGGAACTGCTGTTAAACAAGACATTCATGCCACTGTGTTTATGGAGACATAAAATGCAAAAGTGTGTGTTTGGTTTAAATTTGATAGGTGGTAAGAGTTAACTGTCACATAGTGATTTTTGTATTTTTTTTCTTGTAAACAAAGGCAGCTGAGCGCAGGTCATGAGTGATTCGGACACCATCGTATATCTCAATATCTATTATCTCTACTGGGCTTCTTTATGTCAGCTTTTAAAGGGAGAGAGTTGAGCCATTCTTTTTGGCTGGTAGGTTGTCCTTTTCTGGTTAAGAGTCAAATTATAAATGATTATTAATATTAATGAATCCCAACACAATAGATCAAAAATGATGGTGTGTGCATGTGTGGATGGGTTTTTCCTACAATGTGTGGACAACCCCCACCCCCCCAAAACAAAAAAATAAAAAAATAAAAAAATAAAAAGCAACCTCACGGGGACCGAAGTGAATCATGGGGACCAATGCCAGGTCCCCACTGGTCCAAATGCAAATTACGGGTGAGGGGTTAGGTTTAGGACCAAGGTTTAGGTTAGTTTTAAGATCAGGTAGGTACTTGTGAGGTTAATTATAGGGTAAATGGTCAGGGTTAGGATGTAAAGTCTAAAAAAAAATCAATGGAAATCAATGGAAGGTCCCTACGGGGTTCAAGAACAAATGTGTGTGTGTGTGTGTGTGTGTGTGTGTGTGTGTGTGAACTTGTTCCAGCTACAGAGTGAGAACCATGTTGGTTTTTTAACCAACAAAGTGAGGTCATTTTTGGGAAGTGAGGACTTTGTCTTGATCCTCAATTTTTTTGCAGCTCTACTCTACTAGTCAGTTTTAATGGTAAGTTAAGGTTAGGGTTAAGAATAAACTAGTAATGGTAAGGGTTTGGGAAAATGACATAAATGCAGTTACAGAAAAAAATGAAGTCAATAAGAAGTCCTCAGTTTGAAGCAAGTACAAGGATGTGTGTGTGTGTGCAGGCAGGTATTCCCTTTTATGTGGGGATGATTTTTGGCATACACCCCTACTTGTGGGGACCAACTGGTACTTATGAGAGCCTAAGCCTAGTCACCATTGGGGGAAATGCTATTGGTAGGTCTGGGTTAGGTTTAGGGCTAAAGTGTGAATATAGATAAGATTTATGTGTGTGTCAGGTAAGGGGTCAGAGTTGTAGAAATTAATTTAAGTCAATGCAATGTCTCCATAAAGGTTAGTGTGTGTGAGAAAGTTTTTGCTACATTGTGGGAACCATTTTACTACATTGTGGGAACCATTTTACAGAAAAACACAGCCTCGTGGGGACCAAAGTCTGGTTCCCATGGGCAGGGATGCTGCTTTTGGTTGGGGGGTTTGATTCAGGACCAAGGTGTGAATTGAATTTAGGCTAGATTCAGGGTCATGTATACCTGTGAGGTTTGTTTTAGGGTAAATGGTCAGGGTTATAAAAGGAAGTCAAAGCACGGTCCCCACAAGGATATAAAAACAAGCGTGTGTGTGCTCGTCTCTGCTACAGAGTGACGACCACTTGTAAAATAGTTACTATCAAAGGTCTTTGATGTAAAGTGAGGACTTTTTTAAGTGAGGACTTTTTTCCCTTTATCTGCAGCTTTACTAGTTAGGTTTGGAGGTATGGTGGGAACTAAGTTTTGGTCCAGATTAAGGTTATGAATTGACTAGTAATGGTCAGTTTATGGAAAATGTCTGGGTTAGTCATAAATTTGAATGAAAACCAATACAAGGATGTGTGTGTGTTCAAAGAGCCTTCCTACAGTTGTAAGAACAGCTGGACACTGCCATGATTCCTCTTCAGTTTCATCAACACTTTGCTCCCCGTCACTGCAGATTGCACAGTAATGGGTAGCATTCATTTTTAGAACAAATCTAAACAGACCAAAAGTGCATAAAATCCAGGAGTAACAGAGTAAGCAGAAATAAGAGCGCAATCACACTGGTCATGTTTGGGGAAGTTCAGTAAAACAAGTAGCAGGCAACACAATTTAATTCCTTGCTGTGCACAGATTAAGTTTAAAATCAAATTTTACCGAACACACTGCAACACTTCTCTTCCTTTCAGAGGAGAGCAAACAAAGTGTGAACCAGTCTGCAACATTTATTTCACCTTCAGTCCTGTGCTCCTCCTGAGAGCTGAGCAGACTCAGGGCTGACAGAGGGTGACTGGAGAAAGCAGACCAGTCGAGAGGCACCGGCCCACCACTGTGCAGTTGTCGAGGTCGGCTGCGGGAGCTGAGCACCGGTGAAGAGCTGTCTTGTCTCATTTGAAGGACAGCTGAATATGATATTGGCCGCGCAGCAACAGCTCTTGCAAAGTCTGAAATTGAAAAAAAAGTTTTGTCAGCCATTTTTTATTTACTCTTGTAAATGTAAATATTAACTTGCTAACTTAAAGATGAAGCCATTTTATACCACAGAAACTAGTCGAATATAACTATACTATATGTTGTCTATTAGAAAGTGATGAGCTAAAACCAGTTCTGTAAAGAACAGAATTATTTGCAATGAACAAGTGTTCGCAGGGCTGGAAAAAAACATAAAAAGGCTCCTCTAGACAAAACTGAAACAACGAACTTCTTATTGTCTCAAATGAAAAAAAAAAATCATAATTTAAAGTATTTATAATGCAACAGCTTCATAAATTTAGAGAAAGTGTAGACGTGAAGCTCTATCATAATCTAAATTTCTTGAATGGGTTGTTTCGAACTGTAATTTTCCTTTGGGATCAAAAAAGTATTTCTGAATTTGAATTAAACTGAAATTATGTTTTACTTAATTGCAACCCACACTTAACGGGGGGATGTTATGTGAAAACTTTGTTTTCCAAAGAACCTCCAAAAAAGTTGACAACATGCGGCAAAATTACCAGAAAATAGTCAAAATTGTTTTGTGAAACATTTTCTTCAACATCTTTCCATTCACCTCTTTTACAATGAGCCTTTTTCCTGAACGCATTAGTCACACAGCAGCCATTAATGCACCTTCAACAAATTCACTTAGAATATAAAGATATGCAGTTCCTAACAGTAAAAACACATACACCAACTTTCATTATCATTTTCTATTTAATTAAGAGCATCATATAAAAGCAGTGAAACGCTTCTTAAAAAAGTCCTTGAACATTCTTAATATTTAGAATATTTTATTCTTAATATTAGGAAAGAAAAGCACTGTTGAGACAGTCACTCATCCCTGTCCTTGTTTTCCATTTAGTTTATGTATGTTAATGGAACCTTAATATGTACTTTTATTAAAATAAAAACATAAAAAACAGCAGTTTTATTCTAGACAAAAAATCTTCAAAGATCATTTTGAAAGCAGGCAGTGGTTAAGAGAGATGTTTCAAATCAGATGCAAAGCTCAGACAAAATGCAAAAGACTAGTAGCTTGAAGCCCAGTAAAAGTCTGATCAGAGTTCTGAAAAATGGGAGTGTTTTTGCACTACACGATAAAATGCTACAAGAGAATGAAGTAAAACAGAAATAATTATGTATCCTTAGGGAGTTGTCAGCACAAAAATACTACTATCTAAAAATGGAGCTAACAATTACTTTGTAAACATATTCCAAAGTACAGCAAGGCACGGAAGTCTATTTAAAATTTGAGTTTGAATATTGCAAAGCAAAGCAATTGGTGGTTAGATTTAGTCGTGGCAGTTGCTTATTTCATTTATTGTGTCAAGAATCAGCTCCGCTGGGCTGTAAACCACATCCCCTCTGCTCATTCTCATAACAGTGAGCCTGCTGTTGCTGCTGAAAATTTGTTTTTGACAGCAGCGGGTGGGGGGGCATTTGCTTTAGGAGGCAAAATGAAATGAGGTAGCTTTACACCCCCCCCCCCAAAAAAAAAAAAAAAAAAGTAGACTGAAGGGTGGGCTCTATCTATTGAAGAATCACTTTTCTGTTTCCCCAAGAAAACTCAGGGTGTTAGGAGGACTTCAGTTAATTGCTGGATCTCTATGTCAGGAGGAGCCGTGGCTCTTGTCCTGCTTGAAACAGTGGACCCGATCTTTACTGCTTTAGAGATGCTGAGAGGATTAGCTTGACTGTCCAGTCCACACGTGTTTTAAAGATCCACAGAAAGCTTACCACGATATTCACAGCAGACGTTTGCAGTTCCGAGGCTGCTTTTAGAATTTATCTGGTTCCTGTGGAATCAAAGCAACAGCTGTGTCTGCACTGAACATGTTCTTATTGCAGGTTAGACTCCGCCAACCTTAAGTTTAATGCAGAAAAATGAATTTGCAATATTTTTTCTACCTAAGCAGAGTTATGTGCATCGTGGGTTGTAGCTCTTATCACAGCTTGCAATGATTTAGAAGCGTCTGACCTACAATACCACAAATGGAATAAATGGTATTGCAACATGAAAATAAATCACGTGTAGAAAATAAAAAAGTTTTAATAGTCATTCGACAACTCCAAACCACAAGCAGTTTAAATTATTTTATATTTCCTTTAAGTGACATGGGTTAAACCCAGCATATTTCCACTAACATGCATTTCATTTGGAAATATTGTACATCCTATTTGTTGCATTCACATATGTATGAGTGACAACTGTTCAGTGACAGTCGCCGTGTGGTTGAGAAAAGCTGGCAGTGATGACAAGGAAACAGCTTATTTTACAGTAGATTGACAGAGTTTAAAGATGACAGCTGCACTGTCTTCATTCAGCCAAGGTTCAAAACTCTGGCTCATTTCACTCCTATTACTGGAAATCTACTGAACATGAAAATGTGACAAATCACGTGAATGACAGTTGGCAAACTCCTGTTGTGGTCATAAATCATAATGTAATTAAAGTTCTCATGTTTCTTCTAAATAATTGGAGTGTCATGTTTCAATAACTTGACAACAGCTACAGTATTTTGTACACAGAAATGAGACGAAGATCCTCAGCTGTCCTGGAGGTTTTTGTTCCTAGAAAAACACCAAAGAAAAAAATCTGCTATTGTTGTAGAACGAACCGAAGCCAAGAAAAATATCACACAGGGGTCTAATTTGTGATTCATAAATGCACAGTGTCTCTTTGCGCTCACCTTTTACATATTTAGCATGCATGGTGCTGTGCTGCTGATAAAGGCTTACAAATAAATATATCCTTCACTCAAAGTAAACATTGAAGAAGACAGACTACTTCTAGTTTATTTCTATATGTTGAAGTGTGTCTACCAGTTGTCACTCTGAGAATAACAAAATGTTCATTGGCTTAAAAGAGACACAATGTCCCCTCAAATTAGACTTCGGCAGTAACATCGGTATTATTTTATAGTCAAAAGAAATTAGGAAATATGTGTGGAGATATTCCAAAACAGTGTAACCTAAGTGTTCCAGTGAGTTGTGGAGAAAACAGAACCCAAGCATAGTGACGCTGGAGCAATACTGTCAACTTATTTCACACACCACAGTAATAGAGTTGAGCTGTCAAATGTCTGACACACAGAAACATGATGCAATGTTTTAATACTATTATTGTGAATAAAGACATGAAGATGGAAGCTCTGTTTGTCATACTCGTCTGAGACTCTGGGTGCTGGTCACTGGTTTTTCAGAACTTTTCTATTCTTTAATGATCAAAATTCAGAGTTATTGGGTCACAGACCAAATTCATGCCAGAATATTTGGTAACTCTAGCATGTCCCATGGTGTGAGTGAAAATAAACGGTTTGTCTGTCTCATTTGTCTCTCTGACCTTGTGATGGACTTGAGACCTGTGCAGGGTGTCCCCTGTCTTTCACACAGTGACCACTGGAGATAGGCACCAGTTCCCCCGTGACCCAGAAAGGAACAATATAAAAAAAATAAAAAGAAAATGATGGATAGCTATTTGAAGCTTTGGGAAAAGTGTTGTGTCACATTGTGATTGACAGTGTGACATACCAGAGTTATAACTGGGGTAAAATGTGTGTATTATCAAGGGTACAACCTCATGTCCAAAGAGCGAGGACACAGACAAAAGTACAACATGATGGCAAAAAAAAAAAAAAAAACATTTTGGCTTCGATTTTGAACCAATGGGGGAAGGCAGAGACGGTTTCATCTTTATTAATGCCGATGGTCTTATTTGAACAGCCTTTCTGGATTAGGTCTAGAATAATTCTGGACTGAATTGCTCACGGCAGTGGCTTAAGTGTCCCTTCAAAAGCAAAGTGCCAAGCCAGTAGCAATTCCTTACAGCCAGCCAAGATAACTTAAAGGGGCAATATCATGTAAAATCAACTTTTTTGAGTTTTATATCATGTTATAATGTTAAACTCTCATAAAAACATGCCCAAAGCCTTGCTCTGACTCATTCATGCATGTTTAAGAAATCCTGCAGAGTTTTTAGGAAGCCATGCTGAGGAGCAAAACGACAGGTGGGGACCAGAAACGCCTTTGGGGACCAGAAACACCCCTGGGACATGTCTTTAAGCCGAACTTCCTCACGGCAGGGCGCCCCACCTCCCCACTCACCCCATCCATGACTCCTGCTGGCTCTCGGGTGAAACTGAAAGTGAAACTTAAACTGTCTGCGGACCTCCTAACATTAGTTCTCATTCAGTGAAGCTCTTTTCAGATTAAAAATATCTTTGAGGAAAAAGAATTTTCAGATGCAAAATAAACTGCATCAGAGCACCCCCACCCCCCGTGCGAGTGCGAATACCCCCCGCACTGAAATGGGCGAGACAGAAGCAGAAGGTGGTTCTTAAAGAGACGGAGGCCAATTTGAAGGTGTTTAGAAGAGGAAGTGAGGAGAAGATAAGTTTATTTTCTATTTAAACATAAAACAGTGTTTTAATAACAGCTAAAGGTGACATAGATACTTTATTATGGTATAGTATTTTAATGTATGCCGGAGAAACACATAATATTGCCCCTTTAAACTAACAAACAAGACAACAATTTGACATTTATATTCAGACGAGACCTGAATAGAGCGTAGATGATTTCATTGTTGAATTGTTTTGTTTCGTAAACAAAAAGACAAAAGTTGTCTATTTCAACAGTGTTGCCGGGATTTTCCATCAACAAGATGGCAATCATTTTGCAACTGTTTTGTCAAGTGGAGATTGTAAATGTTTCATTCTTTTTTTGCAGCAAAATAGATTCAACACTGGGGCAAATTCATAAATAAATACACAAAACTAAAAAAAAGGATTGTTTGTTTGACTATTGAAGCCATTAGGCACTAGCTCTTGTCAGCCGTCACCTTCATCTGATAAAAGCAGTGACCCTTGCAGATGCCACTGATCCCTATCTCTCAGAGGGCGTAAAACCAGAAGCAGTCATTGTTGTTGAAAAGGCTGCACCTGCTGTATTTCAGAGATCTGTAGTG